TATATATATATATATATAAAAACGCACAAAAGCCTGCCACACCCTCATCAAATATTTGCTTTCAAGTTGGTCATTCTCAGCATATTATCTCACTTAGAGCGCCAGCAGGAACTGTGCTGTTGACTCACGTCACACACTTAAAGGTTGTTCTTATTTCCCCTGTTTGTCGAGTCCCTAAACGTGTTGTCTGCAAGAATTAACGACTTATGAGAGGTGGGGTTGCCCTCTTTTTATGGGCAAACCCTTTGGTGATTTAAGGATTTATAGGAAACACAATAAGGCAACTGTTGCCTTGAGCTGAATTAAGATTCAAATATACATTTTGTCTTTAGATGGGTAAATTAATAAATATTACACCCATCGGCTGAAGGGAAATATGTGGTCACAGAGGTGGAGCATTTAACAGGTGATTAAACAAATGTGGGAAAAGGCCCCAGTTAATCATTGTTCAATACTGCCCTCTGTTGACTGAATGATGAATTACATTCTCGTTCATTTTTGACAAAGTTGCACGTAATGAATATTTAAACAATTAAATTAAATATGTTGTGGCTTAAAGAAATTTGATCATTTTCAGGTAAATTCTGAGCTAAAGAAATGAACTTCAGAACCGTTTCCACGAAGAAAATATAACAGAAAATGAGCTCTGTGGTTTTTAGAAACATTAAAAACACTGGCTTGATGGGATTTTGATGGTCAGAGAAGGTGCTGGTAAATGTACAGTATCTCTCTAACAGCTCAAAAGAAACTATGGTCATAATAAAAGTTCTGGGATCAAACAGTGTATCACTGCTCAAACATAACTTTTCCAATTTCATCTGAAAACTTTTGATGCACAAAAAAAAAATCACATAATGAAAGCGCCATCCCTTAGAGTGTTACTATTATTTGAATTTTTTTTTTCTGGTTAACTAAAAATAAAGACGTGGCAAGCATTTCTGAGTTTTTATTAAAATCAGATGAAGTACCATCTGGCTATCCAAAAAAATAATAATAATAAAACACCAATAATCAAATACACTTAATGTGCCATACAAAAACAGATTAATTTTATTCTTTGTGTGTTTGTGGCAATAACTGATTATCTTTAAGAAATATGAATCCAGCAACTGGCTCCTAACCTGTCTTTCAGTCCTTTAAAACGACAAACATTTCTTAATTCAAACACACCATAAACCGCTTAATACTGCAAAGAAACCTGCATCATTACGTCTGAGAGGAGCCTCTAACCTAATTCCGTTCAGCTCATAAATTAATATATTAAAGCCAGCAAAAGCCTTCGAATTAATTTGTACAAACAGAAAGAAATACAATAAACTAGTCAGTAATAAAACAAAGTATGACATATGAAATCTAATAAATCACAATAGTGGCAAGCTGCCAGGACGCGCCAGAATGATCCCGAAAACGTAGAAAATTCCCATGAGGAGGTTGAGCTTGGCTGTTTTCTGTGGGATCTTGGCGTAGCATCGGCTCCTGAACTGTTTCTCCAGGGAGAAGGCCATTGGCAGCGTGAGCAGAGGCAGAGCCAGGCTGATGGTGTAACGGGTGGCGAGGATGCAGAAGAGCACGTACGGGACAAAGAGCAGGAGGTTGTAGAGGACGTAGGASAGGGTGGGGCCTACGAGGATGGCCAGGGTGACGATTCCCGCTTGCTTGTCCGAGTCCATGTCTCTGGTGTTGTTGCTGTGGAGGATGGCCTCCGTGTTGAGGGCCAGGGGGACGCCGTAGACCAGGGGCAGCACCGACAGGTGGCCGACTTGCACCGCGTGGGCAAACATGACGGCCAGGGGGCCRAAGGTAATGAGGATTACGATGTCTCCCAGGGCCACGTACTTCAAGCCGATGCCTGAAGGAAAGAGAGAACAGGAACCAGATTTACCGTAATCTCATAAACAAGCTGSCAATGTGTCAGCAAATCTTTGAAACACAGAAATATCAGCTTTCTGGGTGTCACATATACATCGGCAATGGGCCGATGTATATGTGAGTAAACATAACAAGTAGGGCTGTGTATTGGCAAGAATTTGGCGATACGATACATATCATAACAGAGGGGGTCACGATACGATATATCCAGATATATTGCGATACTGTAAGC